TTAACGTTAGTGGTAAGGATAGGGTCAGGCCCAAGCAAACTTACAAAATCATAATATTCTATAAAAATCCCTCATTGGTAATTGTTTCAGACATATATTTTATGCTTACGTGCAATCAAAAACAGCTGTTGCCATTAAAAATACTGCAAATATAACCTTAACTTTTACCTTGGTGTACATCGTCCCATTTATTATCTGAGCTCAGGTCTGCTCTGCAAAATAAGCCCTCCCTATTTTTATTGGGCTCTCATAGCTTTTAACTTTTCAAGCATAACATTTAAAGTTAACATTTCAAAATATAAAGGCTTTGGCAACTACATAGTAAATGTTTACTTGTGTGTATCGTTTATTTTTCTTTATCACATTTTATCTCAACAAAAAACATCATTTTGTGCGTGTGCGTTTGTGTTGTGTGCGAGTCTGGACTCATGTTGTAATGTTTCGCGTGCTGCACCACATTTAGAGCCACGCAATGCAATGACATCGCATGGTGATGTGACAAACAATTGAACAATTTAACTCATTTTCTCTATGTTAAATCCCTAATAGCAACACAACTTCATACTACAAATTGTGTTCGTTATCGTGATCCTGAGCTACGAGACAGATGAACATAGCGAATGTATTCCTGCTTTCGACCTTTGATAAATCTAATCATAACCTGACTTGTGACGAGTAAAGAGGTGCCCTGGTAGAATCGTTACAGGGTTAGATTTGTAAAAATGTGTGTCTGTGTAGAGGTGAATGAAATGAAACCCGTGCTAGATGCTACCAAAGGGAAACTCATCACTGCTGTGATTTTGTCCAGGGGTGGTGATGGATACATCGTCTGCCAAGTTCAAAAAAATTTCAGATCAAAATTAAGATTCACCAACATAGGAATTTTGCAATATGTTTGCTTTTAAGATCGTATCTGTAGTTTTTCATCCAAGATTGTTTTAACTCATAGTAGCGCGTAATGAGTTGTTACCATCATCACATTTTGCATGGCCATTGTGATGTGCATCGATCACTTGCAATCTTTAACGAATTTTACAAACATCTGAATGCGCTGTCAAATCCGGGTTACATTATTCTTAAAGCAAACCTAGATATAATTGCAGTAAATGATCCAGATGAAAAATGTCCTCCATCTCAGTGCAATGCTTCCTTGCCTCTTGGTGAAATCAGTTCCGACACGTGTCATTCCATCCCCAAACAGCAGGCGGCGATGTGGAACCTATCAATGTCAGCGTGACACGGGGAACGACGTGGCTCCAGCTCCTTTTGTCTCCCCAGTGCTGATGTCTACAGCCCGCTACAGCTACTTATTTAGGGCCGAGTAGTCCAAGGGAGACCCTGACCCGGTTCTAAACCCACATTGAGCGGTTGGTTAACCCAGGGCATGGCCGGGAACCCGCGAGGTTCGTCGAATGTTGCGCAACCCATTGCGCCACTGCGTCCGACACTCACACGAGACAAAGATCTCCTCTTCTCCCTTGTCGCCGAGACAGACTGCTTGGGCCAGTGCAGCACTGTTAGCGAGCACCTACGAAGGCCGACACGAGGGGATGGGTGTCCAGCACGTGCGCTCACGCACCAACGTGCAAACGCCGTTCGCCACTCAGTGGCGGACTAGCGGCACCACGGCGCATGTGCCAAGCCGGGTGCAGCTTGAAGCCACTTGAAATGTCGAAGGATCGCTGGCAAGAGAATCACGGAACAGATCGAGGTGCCATGGGTTGACTCAGAGCCGGCCGTAGACCTTTGGGGGCCCTAAGCAAAATTTGGTTGGAGGCCCCTTTGATGTAGGATTTTTTTCACCCACTAGCTAGCAGTGACTCTAGGGGGCCTCTGCTGGCCACGGGGCCCTTTGCAATTGCAAGGGTCGCTTATTGGCTGGGCCGGCTCTGGATTGACTGAGATGACTGGCTCTACACTACCACCTCGCTACGTTTTAGCCACCTGGCGCTCCGCTTTATATCACCTCGCCCCCATGCCGGACTTGATATGTGTTCGCTAACATTACTTGCCACAGCTGTCTTAATACCTGCACGGGGGGACCTGTATTTGTTGCGGGTATGCACATTCAACCAGTATGAGTCTCCAGAGAGACAGATACACACACGGGTGCATAGAGACAGATAGATACAGAGATAGACACAGATTCAAATAAATGGCACATGGAGGCAAAAACGGAGAGGTATACAATGACAAGGGGAGAGATACAGAGGCCGATACACATACGACAGTCATCAAAAGTCGTTGTTTTTTTGAATGGAAGTGTTGTTTCAAACCGTTGATGGGGTGCAGAATGACGGCAATAAGCTGCAATACAAAGTGGCATGGCTAAGGAGTGGGCAAGCAGTGAGACTGCACCGGGGACCACGTGGAGGAGGAGCCAGACGCCGGGCTGCGAATGAGAGGGACATTTGTTCAAGTGGGGCACCAGTACCCTTGTCAGCCACGTTGCGCCACTGGCTGTACGAGCAGAGAGGCATTGCGGTGTGCTGCAGTGAACTTGATTATGTATGACTTTAAACGACGTCTAATGTTTAACTGGTTAATCACAAGATTACATTTTGCTATGCCCTATACTTGGAAAGTTTGGTTTTCTATATGAACCTTAGCAAGTGACTCTACAAGACAACTTTTTAAAAACAATTTAAGGCTGTATTGGGGAAAATATTTATGTGTGTACATTTGTAGACACGATACAATCCCACAATGGACTATGGTACATACATGCTCACGAATTGGTAAAATCGGTAATCGGTACAACATTTGATTTGAATCACATTCTAGCAAGATCAGTGAACACAGTGGGCCCTCCACGAAGCCAGTTACCACTTGGCCATTAGTTCAATTCCAGCTTGAGCCACCACTGAAACATTTCTGACCCATTTGTTACATAATTAAGCAAGTAATTTAGTGATGCTGCGTTGGCATGGGTGAAAAAGCACGATAACAAAAACAACTCAACACATTCGTTAAAAACACCACCTTAAATGCATTTTTTTTCCATAACGTTCAGAGCATAGAACAAGATGTGTTGAAGAACATTTGTTCCTCCTCACCCAGCATATATCATTATTTCATGACGTGGAAAACCTTTTAGTACCTGACTCCTCCCTCGTCACAGACATCTCTTTGACATACTTTAGCGATTGTTTTGTCGCTGTGGTTGTCCACACCCGAAACGCCAAGATTTTTTTATTTTGTTTTATTTTCACCTACGTGACTTTTACCGAAAGAACCGAAGAGTATGACTCAGGCCCGTTTCCGTGATGACACTGGTGACATCAATGCAGTCACACACCAGTGACTAAACAGGAGCACCAGAGAATCACTTGGATGGGTTTTTTTTTTTCTCAATAACAGAGAAGAGTGGAACAATTGCCGGCGTGTCTCGCTGATGAGCGTTCTTTACACGTGATTTCACCGTAAAGAGACGTTTGAATTTTGACCCAATTTTTTGCAAAAAGAGCTAAATCTTTGCTTATCGAGCGGAGACCGATCGACAATATGCGTCCTGTGGAGGCAGGGGGCCCAAGGTGGCCTGCAGCTGTTTGTTTACCAGCTGCCACGTGCCGTGGCCCCATGTGGGGGAATGGGCCCTCATGGTGGCACTGTAATCGGTGGGTGGCTGGAGGGGAGCGGTAGCGTAGCAGCTAGCAAGCGGTGTAACGAACCCGGCGACTCGAGTTCGATTCTCGCTCACGGTCAAAATCAGTGACGATGATCTGAACCGGTCCTGGGCCTCCCCTAGGTCGACTCAGCCTCAAATGAGTACCTGGTGCGGTGTGTAAACATCGCCACTAGGGAGATAAAGGTGATCGGGCGTCGTGCTGGCCACGCACTCCTCATGTGCCGGTCTTCATAGGTGCTCGCTAACAGCACTTGGCCCAACAGTCTGTAAAGGCTATACGGGGGATCTTGCACTGTGTTTTTTCACGTACCGTGTTACATTTATTATCACGTGATAATTTGGATTTCTCACGTTAAAAAAGTTGTTCAAGATTGGAAAACTTTGGGGCTGAAATGTAGCTCAACTTTTAGATGGGCGTGAGTCAATGGGAAAACGATGATGGTTTAACGATTTTCGCTTTCCGAGCTAATTTCATGGAACATATCTCGCTCGTTAAGCGAGACACACTTGTAATCGCCTGGGAGTTTCCACAAATTAATGTGATTCAGGATCATGAATCCTGAAAAGAATAAAACACATTTTTACATTGTTATGAATGGTAGCGCCCCTCATGGTGAAAACAAAGGTGACATAAACCCACATTTAAAAAATATATGAATTCATACTCGGCCGATTCAATGCATTTATTAGACTTAATAATTAAAATGAATTGATGAATCGATACATTCTTCCACCCCTAATGACAAAGCATTTCACACTACCTAGCGACATAGCCTATATAACTAGCGTAGTTATCAAGTGTGCAGGCAGGGCTTCGAAGATGGGGTCAAAATTGGACAGCTCCATTTATTCCTTGCACTGGGGCCCATGCCAACCAGCCTACACTCTAGTGGCCTAGGTAACTAGCCACAATAGCTATTTGCTCCTCGGGTTGCATCTTCTTTCGACGGCACGTTATTTTTCTTAGGTTTTTTTTCTCGTAAAGTCACGTAGGTAAAAAAATTAAATTAATAAAGTAAAATAAAACAAATTAAAAAATTCACGACGTTCGGAAGCAACACAAGCCTCCGTCTTCAGGTGGAACCGTCACAGCCACGACAGCTGTATCAAGTAAATGAGAGATCACAAGAAATACTACCCCGTATATATAATGGTGATCTCTCATTTACTTGATACAGCTGTCGTGGCTGTGACGGTTCCACCTGAAGACGGAGGCTTGTGTTGCTTCCGAAACGTCGTGAATTTTTTATTTGTTTTATTTTACTTTTATTAATTTAAATGTTTTTACCTACGTGACTTTACCGAGAAAAAAAAACCCCTAAGAATATGAATCTTGCAGTCACGAAAGCTTCAAATCTCGAATTAAGGCACGTTATTTCTTGCTTTGTTTCAGCTCAGCCTCGATCAAGGGCACCTCCTTGGCGAGCCACTCGCTGGTGCGGGCGTGCGCCTCCTCCCACGAGAAGCGGGCTCGTATCCCAGCTCGCGCCGCGCGCGCTCGTGCCTGAACGTGAAGTGCGTGTTGACCATGACCACGAGCTGACGGTTGATTGACGGAACGACCTTGTAGAACGGTCGCAACAAGAAGCGGAGCAGCTCCAGCAGGGCCGCCATGGCGTATAGGGCGACGAACGGCATCGGCAGCCGCTTCTGAATGTCGAAGCCAAGGTCGCGCGCCACCGTGTAGTTGAAGTCCGAGTAGCTGACGGGCGGCGTGTCGTCCGACACGTAGTAGACGCGCCCGCCGGGGCGACGTCGCTCCGCCTCGGTGCCGCCCGTCAGTGCCAGGCGTGCCGCCAGCACGTGCGCGTGCGCCACGTTGCCCACGTAGACGGGATTCACGAGGGCACTGGCGCGCGACCCGCGCAGCAGCACGCGCCCGTTGATGAGGCCGTTGGTTATGTGCAAGCGCAAGAAGCGGCAGCGCTCGCCGTAGATGTACATGGGGCGCAGTGCGCACGTCGTCAAGGTGCCGCCGCCCGTAGAGCCGCGCCGTCGTAGGATAGCGTGAGACGTTCGGCCTCTGCCTTGCTACGGCTGTAGGTGAAACAGAGGTTGTGCTTGTAAGGGGTCTCCTCGTCGCCGTTGACGATGGGGTCACCCTGCCCGTTGGGCCCGGCCACCTCGACGGAGCTGGTGTAGATGGCGACGCTCACTCCCTCGTGCACGCAGGCCTCCAGTAGCACATGCGTGCCTGCAGTCAGAACATCGGGCAGGAGGGGCAGAGAGAGAGAGAGCTATATACACTCTAAATCAAAGTTCAGTCTCATGGAATGTAGTCCTTAATGGATTCTTAACACGTGGTTTGGTGGCTCAGAGGTTAGAGCACTAAACTGACACCACTGAGATCCTAAGTTAGAATCCTGGTCTCAGAGCAGTCACGATTGACGACAGAAAATATGATGCATTCACATTGAACATGCGCCTCCTAAACACTGATAAAAAAACGTGCAAAACCTTGGAGCTGTCATTGACCCTGAGCTCTCGTTCTCTTCTGATATACACCTCAACTCTGCAGGACCTCATAATCCCATCTGCACATATTCCACATTCGTATACAGTACCTGACACTAAGACCCTTATCCACTGGCGGAGCCAGTGGGGAGGGGGGGCGGTGGAATGGCACGTGCCCCCCCCCCAATGATCCGATCGAAATCCCTAAATTCGATCAGAAATAATTAACCACGTCATGCTGGATGTGGCTCGTAGGGAGTTTCCCACCTTCAGGAGACACGATGTGAGGGCTGCCACCATGCTTAAATGTCCCTGATTAATTGACACGAAAGAAAATAGTACATTGTAATGACGTAGTTGGATAATCGACTTAATCGAATAAAGATGCCAGCTCTAGAAGCGTAACCCCCGATCTCACCGTGCTGGTTCACGGAGAAGATCTCGGTCTCGCTGTTGCGGTCCCACACGTCGATGAGTGAGGCCGTGTGCAGGAGGACATGGGCGCCACGACACGCTGCACGCATCGCACGCTCATCGCGGATGTCGCCCTGGATCACGCGGATCTTGCCTCGCACGGCCTCTGCACGCATGCAAGCATAGAAAGGAGAGGGCATAACTGTTGCCAAAAACACTCGGAGCTCCGTATGCATTGACAGGCCAAGCAGCTTCCACACACACTTAATACGTTGAAGGGAATTGTTCGTCAAACACAGATAAGTATGTAGGTCACTTGTAGCTTGTATACCTTGAGGTGCTGGCAATCTGCAATGTGCGCTGTGAGCTAACAACCTCAAAACGCATTGACAATCACGACACAGCAGAAAACCATGAACTTGTCGGAAAAAGTGTGAAATATTCTCCTGGTATTTGTTGGGCAGCAGGAATATCTGTACGGAGTAACCACACATGTGAAGCGTTGCAACTTTGTGACCAAAGAGCATGCAACTGAGAAAACATGACTCGGCTTCTGAATGCTTTGGAACATGGACAAGAAAAAAGCATTGTGTTCATGCGGGAGAGATTCATCAAGAAAATAAGGAATTGTCATCTCGAGAGTCGATCTACCAAGTTTTCAAGAAAAAAGAAGTCGTCGCCAGGGTTGACTAAAGACAGCTGTCATAGACTCAGAAATAAATCAGCATAACTTCAGAGGGGGAGATCTGAATAAAATGATTACACAAACAGTACGCTCTGCTGATCGTTGAGCTTGAGAGATTAGTCACGCACCATTGTCAGCAAAAATATGAGACCTTCACCAAAACACCGTGCACGCACACAACACACCATTCTTGCACACACACACACACGGACACCGTGCCATTGCACAGGAACTCGCAGTACCTGGATAGGACAAAATCTCATCGCCTTGAAGGCGCAGTCTACGAGTCGAACTTCAGCGACCTCCTCCCCGAGCTCCAGCAGCTGAGCGGTCAAGAACCCGCCCAGGAAGCCCGCTCCGCCCGTCACCACGTACACGTGCGGGGGTGGCACGGGGCCCGGCTCTCCCTGCAGAGGGCCCTGGTTCGTGGGCGCTGTGGGTCCCTCCATGGGCTCTGGATGTGCGGCGGTGGCAACGGAGATCTTTGAGCAGTGACTCGGAGAGCTGCCGCCAAACATTCCGTAGGCCAAGTGCAAGAACAAGAAATGACACCGCGAGTGCAATTGAATACTGCGCTACACTCACAACTGCTGTAAAACCTCTCAAACCGGCAATTCGAAATGAAGCGGTTGTTCGCTGTAAACCAGAAAAAAGGAGACGTGGGTAGATGTACTGACTAACAATTCTGAAGCTGTTACTTGCGGCGTACTTATATTACTTCTGTTACTTGCGGCGTACTTATATGTTCATCTTCTTGGTTCTTTCGGTAAAGTCACGTGACTTTACCGAAAGAACCAAGAAGATGAATCCCTGCAGTCACGAAAGCTTTAAATCGAAATTTACTGAAATGTTGCGTGCAATTTGCTCCTTTTGAACACACCTGCCTCTGAAATGTGATATGGACAGCTGTTCCCGAAATGCCCTTATTACGTTTTTTACTTTAAGGCAGTGTTATTTACCGTTTATATATTTGCACGTAAACATTACACAAACCCTTCCGCTTATGATGCTAGGTTGTTATTGCTGTTCGTTGTGCTTGTGCGGCACCGCCAACTAAGCAGCAGCAGCAGCAGCACCAAATAATTCGCTTTTTGTTTTCGTCGCTCCCTCGAGATTTTTTTTTAAACGGTATCATCACGTTGTCCAAATAAACCAAATACATTCTTCTAAATATATTCTTCGTGCCTCTCTTGGTTGCCATGTCCAGGAATTGAACTCGGGCGGCCACCAGGGCTCATGCAGCAACACCATCCACCGTTACGCGATTGCTTCATCTATATCTATGGGAATGCAAGAGTCCGTTGCGCTCTGTATCTCCAAAACTGTACGTCGGAGGAAAACATTAAGCCAGCCAAAAACTGCGTCTCTTACGAGGAGATTACCACAAAATTGCTGGCTTTCTGAAATTCGCAAAATTTTCAAGAGTGTGTGTGTATGTGCGTTTGTAGGCAAATGTGACGCACGTGAAAGTGCGTACGTATGCGTGTGCGCACGTGTTTATGAGAGAGGGTGAGGTTTATTTGATGGCTCACTTACTGCCGTGTGACTTGCGCGGCTCGCTCCCCTCCCTGGCTCGCTCCCCTCCCCGGCTCGCTCCCCTCCCTGGCTCGCTCGCTCTGCCCTTGCCTCGCTGGTGCTGCTGCTCGCCGCCTCACTCGCAAGTTTTGGGTCGCGCAAATGCCGTTTCGCGAGACTTCACTCGGCGCGAGCTACTCCCCTCCTCCCCCTGGCCGTGGTCGTCTTCTCGCCGTCCGGGTTTATATGGGCAGCGGAGTGCGCGCACGGGGTCTGTGAAGCCGCGTGAAGACGCGCGTGTTGGACCGGTGGCGTGACCTCTGCGCCCAGCAGGGGCTGGAAGAGCATGCCGTGTTGATGGAAAGAGCGCGGCGAGGGAGATGCGTTCTTAGAATTAGAACAACAAATCTAGATACAATCTAGATTATAACAACAAAGACGTCGCGTGGATTTAGAGGACATAGAGGAGTTAATTGTGTATAACTATTCGTTATATTGACCGAGTAAAACCCCACTGAGCTATTGACTCTTTTTTGCAGATGCCACCTGGCCACACGTGTGGCTCTTATCGTGTGTGGACATTTACATCGGTCATGAATCTAAGCGCATGTGTCTAAATGTAGAGGGCAAAACCGGAGGACCCGCAGAAATGTCCTTGCGACCACGCGACCGAGGGAGAACGTCCAAATATCCAGGCATCGTCAGGGTCAGTATCGAACCAACTTCCTCCATGCACACCAGGCGAGGGAGATAACATCTCACCACCGCGGCAGCCACCGCGGGTTCATGGCATAATTCAACCGTATTCAGAAAAAGGTGGGATTGGTCAACGCAAGTCGGGAGATAGAAGGGATGATGATGGCTGATGGTCAAGAATAATGAGGGATTAACAGTCAAGGAGAGAAGAAGCAATGAAATCAGCTTGCGCACAGATGCAAGGTAGATTAATGTCGAATTTGGGCTTTAGCTACCCATGTTCAACCAGGTTCCAAGGGTAAAACATTCATGCTTTCATCCTATTCACCAATAAATATACGCAAACAACTTCATTACATTTGATTTATCACTTGATCTGGTTCATTTAAAAAGAGGGAATTGGCTTGACTATCACGTGGCATCGCATGCTGAATGGAAAGCTTACCCCTCTAGTTTTTGCATAAAGAACGAGGAGTTGCACATATGCTAAGATGTTTTAGACAATGAATGAGCATTTACATATGTGAAATGAAACACGACCACCCAGAGAAAACACACATGCCAGGGTAACACTCTATCCCATGCAGAAAGGACAGGTAATGTTAGTCTGCACTTCGCTGTATCGAATTCTCCTGGCAAACTCGCCGAAGGGAGTTAATACAACATCCACAGTGCTGGATCACAAACCATGCGCATAGCCACACAGCCCAGTTGCTGTTTCAACAGTATTGTGAATAACTGGCCCAATGTTTTCATTCACACCCACCAACATTAAAATCACCAATAAGTCGACTCCATTCCGAGGGGCAATTTATTCATCATTTTGGAAAGAAGGTAAACAAGACTTTTGACTCGTCAAGCCTTACTAACATTCCTCCATGGTTGCAAATGTTTTGATGAAATTCCTCATCAGCCTGGGGCGTGTGGCCTCCTATACTCACCGGCATGCTTCCCATGTCCCTTTGATTATTTTGCTCTGAATATCCCATCTCTATTGTTTGATGTTATTATCCTGCCCCGAGTCAAACTGGTTACAGATAGCTATTATTTCCATTAACTCTTTTTCAGAGGCGACCCTGGCCACACGTGGCAACTTGTCATATGTGGGGAATCATAGCAGCCAAATAATATGAACACATGTGGAGGGAAACAAGCCGAAGGACCTGTGGAAAAATCCACGCGACCGAGGGAGAACATGAATTCCAAATATACAGGCGTCGTCAAGGTCGGCATCGAACCACGACCTCCTGTATCCCAGGCGAGGAAGGTAACATCTCACCACCGTGGTTAAACTTTTTGTACACGTGACAATAATTTTGTTTGGCTGTGTTGAGTGGTTTCGGGGCAAGGAAGGGGGGGGGGTCAAATGATCATGTAGCCTAACCAAAATTAACTTGGCAATCATACATCGTTATATTTTATGCAAAACTCTTACCGTATTAATTCTGGTGTGTTTCACGAGAAATGTAGACAAGTCTCTACTGCATTTAAGTTGCATTCTATCACGAGTTATGTCTGTTCATTGCCCAATACTGCATTGCTAAAAGCGTTGCTCAACTCAAGCATCACTCATCCGATGACTAGTAAAGATACTTCAATCGCTGGCATTCCAGCCACAGCGCAGTGATACACGCGTGAAACTTGGCATAAAACGATTTTTACCCTCCAATTTTATTACAAATGTGCCCATCATGTTACGTGATGAGTATCCGTTCCAATTCCGACAGAAAGCGGTGAATCACTCCATGTAACATTTACTTCATCAAAACGAGGGACATGCTGCACTTTACAAAGAGCCCTGCTGTTATAGCATGGCAGCGAAATATGTGTTTTATCTATAAGCTAGATTTTGGAAAATGTATGTATGTTGAACCTTTTTTTCACCGTATGTAACCAACCGTGATAATCGGAGGTGTGGGGAAGGACAACAAACTAAACACAAAAAGCAGTTCTAAGAAAAATAGTTTTCGATCTAGATTTGAAAGTGCGTAGCTTCAACCGCGTCCCTCTCTAACCACATCTCGGTCACTACTGCACAATGATACATGCTTACTTAGACCTGGAAAACCTATCTTCTTGGTTCTTTCGGTAAAGTCACGCATTATGCAGGATCAGCAGCACCAAGGGAGGGTGCAGGGAGTAGCATTAACAAAGGAAAGGAATGTTAATAGTATGTAGCTGCAGTTACTAAAACAACCACGTAGAAAACTAAAGTATAAACTACATAATACTTTATGTAGTTTATAATATGACTTTGAAACCCCCGCCCACCTCCTACGCATTTCCCATGAATATGCTAAATTCCTCCTGATATGCACATTCTTTTTGTTAAGGCGCTCTTCACCTCCAACCCAGCTTATATATAAGCTCCTAGCTTGGCAGTGTCTCATTCTTCACCTGAAGACGGCTGCTTGCGTTGTAGCCGAAACGTCGTGAAAAATATTATATTTTATTATGTTGTATTTTATTATTTTATTACTTCCCTTCTACGTGACTTTACGAAAGAACCAAGAAGATGAATCCCTGCAGTCACGAAAGCTTTAAATCGAAACTGGAAACCTAATTGAATGTTTTATTGTCTTGTTCATGGTGAGGGCTCTATTTCGTTTCATGATGGTCACTTCCTATGCACAGCTTGATTGAGTTATGCTATGTACTAACCATGTAAATGTGCAACATTCATTCGGAGCTTTCGTGACTGCAGGAATTACTCTTTGGTTCTTTCGGTAAAGTCACGTATAAAGATAAAATAATAAATTAAATAATGCATACGACGTTTTGATTGCAACACAAGCAATCATCATCAGATATAAATGAAATAGCAAACAAAAATCGAACCAGAGAACTATAGACAGACATATAAGCAGACAGATATCACCAAGATACAGAGAGAGAGAGAGCAACACATAGGCACACAGAGAGAGAACGTCTCTGTGACGAGGCCTTAAATAGAGAGAGGAGGCGGGGGCAGAGAGAGGGAGGGGGTTAGAGAAAAAATTAGCATGTCAATGAGTAGTACTGTTGTATGTGTTGGGTTATGAAATTTTGATGAAAATAATAAAAATTAATAATTTTCCGAAAAATGCGCAATTCGCATTAATTATGATAGTGTGTGTATTAATATGCATAAATTATGATAATGCATGTAATTATATGCATAAATTATGATAATCACGGAGATAATCGTAGTAATTTATGCGGAGGCTTGCGATTATGTTAATGTGTGCAGTTATGATAATTTGCTTAGTTTCGTTTATCCAGAGTTATCAATCAGGATAACACGATTATCATAGATTCATTTACCGAT